CTCACTTGCGATAGAGAGTGTAAACCATTTCTTCTTGCTTAAAATTACCATAAAAAGAAAATTTTTAACAAAACGGACATGATCAGAAGAGAGTTTTTTTTTTAAATTAAAAAATAAAAATTTTTTATTTCTATAGAACTATAGTAGTTATATAAAAATAACAGTTTTAAATAAAAAGCTTATTGTAATGTTTTAGATTAATAAAAATTATTAAAATATAATAAAATAATTTTTCTTATTTTTTATAATTATATTTAAAAATTTTAAGCTTATAATGATATATAATATCAATAAGCTTAATTATATTATAATATTTTTTTAATACATATGTATAAGCAATTTTTGTATAAGATTAATAAACATAAATAATATATAATTTGATTTGAAATAAAATAAAATTAAATTAAATTAATGGTAAATTAGATTTTTTTAAAAAAATTTTATTAAATATAAATAAAAAAATTTTTAATAAATCGATTTAAATATAAATAAAAAAATATTTATAAATTATTTTATAAATCAAATAATTTTTTATAATTTATAATTAATTTTTTATAGTATTTTTTATTATAATTTATATATAAATATTAGTTAAATTTTTGATATTAGATTTATTAGATTTTAAAAAAGATATATTAAAAGTTTTATATTAATTTAAATATTATCTATAAACTATAATAATAATATAATTAACAAGTTTTTTTGTCATGTACTGCATTATATAAATATATAATAAAAATTATTAAATTTAATTTCTTTAATTAAAAATCATAACTTGATACAATAGTTTATTTTATAATAAAAAAATTATTATTATTATTATACTTATGTTTTTAATATGAAAATTGCATATTTACAAATAAAGATATATAAAATTTACAAAAATAATAACAGTTGAATCATATTATTATAGATATTAATCGGCTTATAGTAAATATATTAAATAAAAAAAAAACGGTTTACATATAAAAATAAAAAAATATTATATTTTTTCAAAAGTAAATTATTATAAAAAATTATTGTTTATTTAAAATTATAATTTTAAATATTTTATTATTAATTTTTTTTTTAATAATAACTTTTGATAATCTTATATTACTTTAATAATTATATAATAAAAATATAGAATAGTATTTTTTATAATAAGTTTTAATTCTAATTTAAATATATTATAAATCAAATGATTTAAGGGATTTCACAAAAGCAAAGGTAACAAAGAAACGAGAATCGAACAAAGAAATGAAATTCGAACGAGGATTCTTTGTTTCCAAAATATTTCAAATTTTATAATTCTTTTTTCAAAAAAAAAAAAATTAAGTCAATATTGCATTAAATTTAAATATTTTCGTAATATAAAATGCATGTATAAAAGAATTAACAAAGAAATTAAAGTTGCATGACATATTTGGCGTATGTAATGTGTGTAATGCGCTGCTTGCATTTCTTCAAATTAATTATTAGGCATATCGTGATTTCGTACCCAATATTAATTGGCTATCAACTCTTAATTTGTCACGTGAAGATTTGTGACAGGATGCAATTATAATACTAAACTTGGTGAATATTGTCATTGAGCTTGTAAAGATCGACGAGAATTATGCCCCAGACTTTTCGTCTAAAGAATTCCGTTGTTTGAGGATGGTTTCAGTATGTCGTGTCACAGATTACATATTATTGTACGTAACGTACGTACGTCGAACTTTAACACCAATTCCAAGCCCGTCAAACTTATTGATGGGAAGAGTTCTCTCGTACTATGGTAATTTTCGTCAAGCTAATCCTGATAAACGAACCGATCGCATGTGAAGATCCCTTTTTGGGGAAGAATATAGGAAAGGTTGAAATTTTTGAAGATCACCGACTGCATGGGAATATACTTTGATAAGCTATAAAAATCTACCTGTCGAAGAACTGAACCGATATTATTTTTCTTTTCTGAAAAAAAAAAAAAAATGGGCTCTTCAATCTCACATTGCATTAATGTTGACTTAGAACCATTGGATTCAATGGAAACAAGCAAAATAGCCCTTTCTTCTAATGTTCTCTCTTTGGTACCAGAATTTAACAGCCACGATATTGACATAAATGTTACCACGACCGTATTTGTTGCAAATCTTCTAGAGAAGGCAGAAATGAAACTGAGAAATAATGAATATATGAAATATGTTAGTTGTCTTGAAAGGGCGACACAATTAGGTATTATTAATGAAGAAATTTATACTTTACTTGTGGTAACATAGTACAGTATCTTATTTACATCTGTCTTGTTTTCGCAATATAAAAGGTTCGGCCAGTGCAGCTGCGAAATTAGGACTTGTATACAGTCGAGGTATCGATTCCGCCATTGCGCCAGATTACGCATCAGCAGCATCATATTACTTTCTCTCATTGAAGCTAGTCTTGATGATTCCCTATAATTCTTGGGTATCTATTTCTTTTTATTTCACAAATTTTGAAGGATTTTGAAATAACAAAAAAAATTCGACATTTTCATATATAGGATATAACACTGTTGCTTGAGGTAGTTGCTGGATTAACCGAATTATATCAGTCTAAATTAAACAACGAAAACGACAAAGATATTATTTCCCACGGAGTAAAGTTGATGCATAACGTAGACGATAAATTGCAAGATCCATATTTTATCAGAACTTTGACTCACCAAGAAGTACAGAAGCGTAGAGCTATACGAATCCACATGAATTACTGCTTTGCCTTGAAAGCAATGACCGCAGGGGATGTTCTTAGTGCCGCCTTGTCATTTCAAGAGTGTGAGCTAGTGGGAGAATGTGGATATGAGACAGCAGATAATTTAGTAAAACAATCTCAACTTCATCTTAAAATAATAGAATCTAGTTTGCCGAGCGTACCTCCAATTTGCGCTGAATGCGAGTATTCTCCAAAGGATTTAAGAGATATCTGGAAACTAATAACCTGTCCCCAATGTCGAGAGGTGGGTTGTTGCGGGGATGATTGTTTATCCAAACATATTTCCACAAATTGTAAGCAATCAAAATAGACAAAAAATGCATGTATAGATATTCTTCATTGTAACGCATATGTGTGAAAAAAAACTTTTTTTATTAAAAAAAAAATTATGTAAAATAACAACATTCCGTGATCTCTGTCATGAACGCATACGCATAATGACATAAAAAAGGTTAAATGTATACTGTACGTTGCATGTATTTGATCAGATGTAAAGTCTTCCGCCCGCATAGATTGTGTATGAATCCATAAAAATCATACCGATTCTGTAACTGCAGAATTTAAAGAATCCACGAACGTTTATAGGCGTTTTACGAGTTACAATTTTTTCCTTGAATCTTGAAGCATTATAAAATAAAGTATGATATGTAACACGTATGCATGTACGCATCAATGGTTCTTTATTTGATTTTTCTATAAAATCTAAAATATTTAAAATAAAACTGATTAATAAATTATACTGTATCTACCAATATAAAAGTTTTAACCGAAATTCAAAACTTTATAAGTTACATTTATCTATAAATAGTCTAATTATAAAACTTAAAAAGGTTTGATAATTTTGTAATAAAAATATTGAAAAAATTACGTAATTAAAATATATAAATTAATTAAACAAAATTATTAAAGTTTAATGATACATTCCGAATATACTGAACCTCCTCTAAATGCACCCTCTTTAAATACACACCTTCTCTAAATGCTTTCTTTTTTATAGTCCCAAGTTGGGTCAATAATATTAAATGCATTCTTTATATTCTAATAGTGCAATAAATTTTCAAAAGTTGACCAAAATTAATATAATTGGGCAGAATTAAAATAGATAACCGGAATTAACATAAAGCCGGGCAAAATTAAGATGACCAACTGGAATTAACACAAAGCCGGGTAAATTAAAATAACTGACCAGAATTAACATAAAGTCAGGCAAAATTAAGATGATTAACTAGAATTAATATAAAACCGGCAAAATTAAGATAACTGACCAGAATTAATATAATGCCAGGCAAAATTAAAATGGTCAATCGGAATTAATATAAAATTAAATAAGAATTTTTTTCTTTACATATCTTTTTTAAATACATATTTGTTTTTGGTTTCAAGGAAATATATTTGAAAAGGATTTCCTATATATTTTAATTGTTAAATCTAAAAATTAATGTCAAAAATAATATTGAAATTGATTAAATTATCTAAATTACTAGATTGGAATTATAAAAAACCAAATTAAAATTATTATAAGCCTAGTTAAAATTATAATTAATATAAATAAATAAATAAATTTTTTTATAAATAAATATTATTTTTTTATTTAATTTGTATAATATTATATATACTGTATATTGTAAAAAAAAACAATATCTTTTATATATTAATACAATAAATTAAATATTGATTGATTTATAATAACTATATAATTAATATTGAAAAAAATTTTTAAAATAATATATTTTGTTAAATAGTATTAAACAGTTATAATTATCTACTTAGTATTAGAAAATAGAATTAGATAGTAAAAAAATTTAATTATAAATATATTTAAATAAATTAAATAAATAAATTAACAATTATAAAAGATAAATTAATAATAATTTCTTTTTATAAAAAATAATATATAGAGTTTATAATAATATTCTTTAAATATTAATTTAATACTTAAATTTACTGTAATTTTTTTTTTTTAAAATAGGTAAACATTATTTTTTTATTTGATTTGTATATGTCAAAGTATATATTATGAAAGAAACAATATCTCTCATATGCAAATACAATAAGTTAAATACTAGCTTGTTTATAGTAACCATTTAACTAATATTGAAAAAAAAATTTAAAACAATATATTGTGTTAAATGATACCAAGCAACTATAAATATCTACTTAGTATTAGGGAAAGAGGTATTGGATAATAGTAATATTAATTTCTAAATACATTTGAAATAATTATATTTACATTAGATAAACATATTGGTAACTATATTAAGTAAATCAATTATAATTTCTTCAGGAAAGGTAATGATTAATTGGATTTCAGTTTGAGAATTATGATTATTGAATAGTCATTTAATTCCAGGTGATAGTAATGTATTGGTTGTAGAGCAGCATGATTTCCAAATAAGATTGTATAACTAGGTTATAGCTTCGTTAGCTGTCTTGACCCAATTGAAGAAGTTTGTTATAAAGAATATTTTATTTGTAAAGCTGCATAATAGTTCAGCTACTTGCTATATATGTGGGATTGGTATTTGGTTACTATTTGAATGAAGAATTTGATTAATATTTTTAATTATTTGATTAGTTTTGATGGAGGTCTTAAGACATTTAAAAATGTGAAGAATGTCTTTAATATAGAGTTTATATCCTGGGCACCAAGCATTTGAATACTGATTAGGATATACAATAGTTGATAAAGAGTTTTACAAATAGGCAAAGTGTCTAAGAATAGTTTGATTCTAAATATAATTATATTGCTATAGCTATTATTATATAGTTTTTTGATGTCCTTATTGGATTTGATGATGACTTTTAGACCATGTAAAATATGCTTTTGTCTAAAAGTTTGAATAACAAAGAAACTTTAACATATTATGTAATCCTTAGTAATACTGAAAAATTTTTTGCACCACCTAACACTACTGTCAAGACATGTGTTGTTGATTAATGGATTTTTTGGAAAATGTAGAAGAGAATTGTTCTATTGAAAAAATCCGATTGACAATAGTTTGGATTTAGATTTGATATATACTATCTGTATTGATTTTTGTTATATTTGATGAATTATTCTTTGGATTAGTACTGAGAAATTGATTTTTATTATTCTTTTAGAATATTCGGAAACTGGTTGAAGAATTTTTTTGTTACTTCTAATTTCAATAGTGTTGTACTGCTGATTCCACTAGATAATATCGAATATTGCAAGTAGAATATTGCCTGGTGATAAGTAGGAATTGAAAAGTTCAACTTTGATATTATTTATAATTAAGTTATTTTATAAAGCTATATATGGGTATGCTGTTATAAGTTGAGTTCTTGTGAAAGAGTCTGAAAAATGTGAGTGGTGGAGATGTTGACTTCTTGTAGAATAAGTTTATTGTTCTGTGGTAAGATAGAGATTTCATCTATTATATTAAGTAAACAGTATCTTTGATTGCTAAATGGATTAGTTTAAACCCATAATGTTAAGGCCACTGTACTTATGAACTCTAACCAACAGAATCCTTGAAAGAGTGAACCAGCTGAACAGCCTGAGCATCTAATCAAGATATTGTTAGGATTTATTGTAAAGTGTTTCTTCTTAAGTGAAATATTTTCTTATATTGCTCAATGTCTTTTATAAATCTTTGCTATTGTATTGATATTATAGATAAGCCAAAATGTTGACTTGGGATTTGGTATTGGACTGTGATATTCTTTTAGATTTTTGATATTTGTAAATGTTTTGAATCAGTTAGGCTCTGGGTCAAAACAGATTATACTTATATGGGTGGCAAGCTGTGGCCATGTAAGTTTGGTGGAGCTTTGGAATTTTAGTAGTTGATTAATGAATTTTATGTTAAGAGCATTTGTTATGCTAATTGCAGTTTTTTTGAGCTAAAGTTGGAGAGTAGAAAACAAGAGACCAATTGAGTTTTTGACATTGTTAAAATAAAATAGACATTTTGTAAAACAGATTTAAATTTTAAGATCTCTGACCAATTTTACTGTGTAAACGATTTAGCTGTCTTGATTAAACTTTTCTGAGTTACAAATAGGCAGAACCAAATTGTTTCTTTTGTTTAGATGGATTGAATTTTTTGTAACATGTATTTTCTAATGGTAGGAATAGAGAGTTTAGAAATTAGGTTGCCTATTAGTATGGTCTTTTGTCTTTTTTCTAATACTGCCAGGTTCAGGTTACCATAGCTTGTCAAGATTGTGTTGAAACACTTGAAAAAGATTCTATAAGCTGACTTGATTAACTTGTTGATTTTCATTTGTAGAAGTTTGAAAGTTGACTTATTGAGAAAAGAAGAAATAAGAAGTATTTAAATTTTCTCATGATAATCCAATTATTGATTTGTTGCTTAATTTCTCCTTTCCACTTGTATTTGAAAAGTTCCTCAATGATTTGTAATGCTGTTTGAATAAATACTTTTCTGTTGAATCTGTGTAGGTTTTTTGGTGAGATTAAGGTTTCAAGATATTTAATACTTTCATATGGTTTAAAAATTTGGATCTGGTGATTGTCAAATCTGATAGAGTCTGGAGAGCCGTGTTTAACTTTGATATTGTTGATGATCTTGGTTTTATCCTTGTTGCATGTGATGCTATTTATTGTGAAGAACTAATTGACTATTGTGAGAAGCTTTTCTAACTTCTATTTGGAGTCTGCTATGAGAATGAGATCATCTATACAGTTCTGGCAGAAAAGACTGAAACTAAAATAAAATTAATTTATTTTACTAGTTTTTAAAATTGTCATTTAAAATTAAAAGTCTAAGAAGTTTATTATATGTATTTTATGTCTATAAATTTTTAATATTGAATTTTTTGATTGTTTTCTTCAAGTACTAAATTTACTCAATTTTCTATACTGGCAGCTAAATTAAAGCATGTGCTATAATCGATGCGTTTCCACTCACTTTTAATTATTGCTTTAAAGTCATCTTGTGTGACTGATTTTTTTTCATTGACCATTCTATTTACTTTTTTTTCCACCTTACGTTTTATTATTGACCACAAGTTTTTTATCGGATTTAAATCTGGCAAATACGATGGCCAATCAAGAACATGCACGCAACGATTTTCGAGAAAAGAGATCATGGCCTTAACAGTATGCTTTGGGTTATTATCATGTTGAAAGACCCACGACCTCCCAAAAATTCGGTTGGCTTGATTAAAAAGGTTTCTAGTTAATATCTTACAATATAACTTCTTATTTAAAGTTTCAGAGAACATGTGAAATCCTACAATCCCTCACAAACAAAAAGCACTTCACACATAAATTTTGAAAGGGTGTTTAATGACTCTACAGCTTGGTTTTTTTTTACCAATTTTGTAGCAGACTAAGGTTGTATTACGAAACATCTGAAAAGTAGTTTTGTCAGAAAAGATCACATTTTCTCAGTTTTGATGCTGATGTTTCTCGGCCCAAGCGATTTGAGTCATAATGGTATTTTCGATAAAAAATGGAGTGATTTAAGGCACACAAACTCGGTAACCAAGCTTCCACAGGTTCTCTCGGACTGTTCGTGTAGCTATATTAAGATCTGGATAGGTTGTGTTCATTTTTTCAGCAATTTCTAAACTTGTTGCATCATGATGTGATTTGGCAAACTGACCAAGAAAACGAAGTTTTTTTTTATCTAGGACCCTT